ACACACACAGACACAGACACACACCCAGACACACACAGACACAGACACACACACAGACACACACAGACACAGACACACACACAGACACACACAGACACACAGACACACAGACACAGACACAGACACACACAGATACAGACACAGACACACACAGACACAGACACACACAGACAGACAGACACACACACAGACACAGACACACACAGACACACAGACACACACAGACACACACACACACACAGACACACAGACACACACAGACACACACACACACAGACACAGACAGACACACACAGACACACAGACACACACAGACACAGACACACACACAGACACACACAGACACAGACACACACACAGACACACACAGACACAGACACACACCCAGACACAGACACAGACTTAGAACACACTAACACACAGACAGACACACACACACAGGCACACACACGCAGAAACAGACACAGACACAGAAAAACACAGACACAGACACACACAGACACACACACAGGCATACATGCACGCACACACACTCCCCAAAGCTTTGCTTCTTAACTTGCCTGGCATCCTGCCCAGCAGAGGGCAGTGATCATCGTGGAATAAAGAAGAAAAGGAAAGAACACACCCGCGAAAGGGGAAAAGGCGCTGACTGTATTTCAGACGGTGCGTCCCTGTAAACTATCCTGTGGAGGAGAGGAGCTGGACTGCTGGAGCCGGAGCACAGTACCGCCGCAGATACCAAGAGCTGGGCTGCCAGCTTCTCTGGGGTTTTCAATCTCAGTCTGAGCCTCCACGCAGCTGCTGCTGAGATGCACGGCTCACGTCTTCCTATGGGACGCAGGCCCTTTTTCCAGAAGCTCTGGTGGCCGCGGGGGTATTTTCCTCCGTGACACGGATGCAGGTATGTCACCTCTTTTGCTTCTTTGCAGCGATCACGCAATTTGGGGTCCAAATGTCTTCACGGTCACTCACGGGGACTTTGGACAAGTTACTGATGTCTCTGAGTCGCACGTTTGTCGTTTCTATTTTTGTTTTGCACAGTGTGGGAGTTTCAATCCAGGGCCTGCACACCAAGCTCCTCCTCCAGGCCTCTCTTCATTCATTTTTAATTTTGACCAGGTCTTGCTAAGTTGCTAAACTGCTGCGGCTGATCTTGCTCTCCTTCTGCCTCAGCCTCCCACGGTGCTGAGAATGAAGGTGTGTGCCCCACTGCCTCACAGTTGTTTTAATCTGTAAAAACCGAGACCAACAAAGCGACATACCTTACTTGGTTTTGTGAGCTCTTAACACGGTAATGCAGTGAGGGTTCCCAGGCAGGAGCTGGGGCGCTTTCCCCAGACACGATTTAACTCTCTTCTCCATCTGCCCCCCCCCCAGCACAGTGCCCCACCAAGTCTGAGAAGTGAGCTTCTTCTGGACTCTACGGCTACCTGCATGGACTTGTCCCCAGCTGTCTGCCAGCACCCATGGGAACGAGCCTTTTTTATATGCTGCTCGGGAGGCCCTGGGATGAAGCCTCGGCCTCCCATCCATTCCTCAGTGGTGGGAAGGGTGTGTGCTCCAGTCTGGGGGGGCTGGGTTGGGGTTGTCCACCACAGCGTCCCCTGCAGAAGCTGACCTTGGCCATGGCCACCTGTCTTGTCTGTTTGACTGTGGTGACAGAACCCCGTGTGGTTAATCAGCAGGATCCTATTGTCCTAAAATTCTGGAGGCGAAGCCCCATCGTGGGCAGGGCTGGTTCTTCCGCCCCTCTCCTGGGCTCACAGATGGCGTCTACTCCATGTCCTCACGCGGTCACCTCCGTGTGTGTCTGAGTCCTGATGGATCTTTTTATGAGGACACAATACACACTGATCCTGGGCCATCTTGCGGCCTCGTTTAATCTTGATTACCTTGTTAAAGTCCCTGTCTGTGTAAATGCAGCCGGGCTGGGAGTTAGAGAGCTCGAAACGTGACATTTGGGAGAAGGCAGTTTAGTACCCTGCGTGGGTCAGGCTGGCTCTGAAGAAGGAAGGTCTGCAGTTCTGGTTGCCGCTGTGGGGTAAGGGAATGGGGGGGCCCTCCTGTTGGAAAGCGGGGAGGGAGTCATGGAGGGCACCACGAAGCCCTGCTCTGAAAGCTGCCAGGGCCACTGTGGTGGGAAAGGCCCCGCACACGCCCATCACGTGGTGGCTGCCTGAACACAAACACCACGATGGTTCCCATGCAGGGGTGACCTGTGGGCTCTGTGAGTGGCCAGGTGGTCCTCAGCGGAAGGCAGCTGTGAGCAGCTAATTGGGCTGATGGACCACAGGCTATAGAATGAGCCCTGTGCCTGGGGGGTGAGACTGCAGTATGGAAATTAGAAGAGGGACGAGACGGAGGGCCTGGGGCCCCAGGACAGAGTGGACCTGCCCTGTCTCTGCCACAAGCCCCTCCCCTGCTGCCGGCTGCTGCCTGGGGAAAAAAGGGGTGAGCTCCCTGGATGGAGGGGGCCAGGAGGCTTCATGCAGAGGACAAATTCCTTTAGACCAGAGAGAGAGGGTGGGGGGCTCAAACACAGTGAATTCTCAGTGGTGTCAGGCCTGGCACCCGAAGCTGTGGTCCTGTCCTCTGGAAGTCCCCGCAGCATCTGTTCCCCAGCCCAACATAATGGGTGTAGTCGTTGGTGGTGTGCTCAGGCCGATCACTGGATTCCCCGTGGAGGAGACCAGACACTGGGCTCTGGAGAGGCTTGCCCAGGGCCGCACACAGAACGCTCCTGTGTCAGGGACTCGGGCTGGTTGCCTCTTCTTATGACACCAGGAGCTTTGGATCAGGGACAGACCCAGTGGTGTCCTGTAGCACAGTCCTCTGTGTAAAGGCCTTGTCTGCAAACACAGTCACATTCCTGGTCCTGGGGTTCGGGAAGTCAGCATATGGATTTGGGGCTTGGGTCCTTTTAGCCCAGGACACTCCCATCTCTCTCAGAGCCTTTCCAACCCTGGTGCTTCCCTGTCCACCCTCTGCTTGGTGCAGCCTCAGCCCCACCTGACGTTGCCCTCCAGGGGTTCCTCTTAGAATTCTCCTGGGAATCCCCACTTCAAGATCTGCGGCAGCACCTGGCCAGCATAGGGAGGATGGTTCTCTATGTCCCCTCTGCTTGTCCCCAGGGAGGGCGCCCAGCTGGCAAAGCCACACAGGAGGCTCCGTGGACCAATCTGCTGGGGCTCAAAACTCCACGATGGGCATCCCCTGGTGGATGTCCTCCTGAGGACTTGCATGTCTCTGCATGTGGGGGCCCCTCTGCTCGATGGTTAGACTTTTCAGAAAATCCTGGGGTCCCAGGTCCTCACAACAGTCTTCTCTTACTCCTCTTTCACTTCTGGTTACCTGGGGACCCTTGGGCATCCTGCCTGGGATTTCACAGGAGGGAACCCGGGGCAGAAGAGAAGAGGGACAGGGTAGGACTGTGCTGTTCTTATTCTGCAAATGATTTGTGTGGTCAGGATACATAAATACATCATTTATATATATGCATATATAATAGTGGGCATAATCAGATGTTAAAATTGACTAAACAAGTATTACAGTGGAAGACACTGCCATGCCATCAATTACTCTAATCATTTTCTCTCTCACTTCACCCCTGCCACGCTCAGCAGCTGCTCTGGAGTCCTCTCTCCTGAGTGTCTTTACTTGTGCCATCCTGGCTGCCTCGATGTCCTAAATGGATTTGCAGTGTTTCCCTGTTGTGGTTATTTTGATTTGGGGAAGAACCGGAAGCCACATGGTCCAGATCTGATGCTAAGGTGGAGAAGACACACCAGGGAGTTTTTACGAGCCCGCCTCCCTCCAGGTGGCACTTGGCAGCCACACTGATCACACGTCCTGAAGTCACTCAGAAAGGAGGACTCCAGAGCTCTTCAGAAAGCAGCCCAGAAAGCAGCCAGAGGACAGATGTGTGCGTATGAGGTGTCTCACGGGGATTCATGGCAGTGCATCTTTTACCCTGACACACTTTTGCACGTGAGCACACCCTGCCCTTGTAGGTGTGCTGGTCCCACTCCGAGGCCGTTTGCTCCTCCCCTCCCAGCCTGGGTCTGGTGGCCGACAGACGGGCAGAGGCAGAGGGAGCAGGCACGGGAAACCCTGAGGGCCAGGCCTGTGGCAGCAGGGTGGGGAAGGAATTTGCGTGGCTCCAGCAAAGCCGGGATGGGTGGGAGATTGGGTGCCCATGGCAGTAAGAATTCTTCCCTCCCACTAATGGTTGAAATGCAATATCCACGTGTGACTCCTATCCTCTGCGGGTAGACTCTTGTGGCCATCTTTGTGTCACTTGTTTTTCAAAAGTTTTTTTGAATTAAATTAAAATAAAATGTAATTTGTGTGCGTTTGTGGTACATAATAACCACATCGGTTTCGGGATCCGGTCCATGCACAGATCTTCAGTACTTTCACCCTCCCGCCCCCCGGAAGTCCCCTCTGTCCCCTAAAAGCCGGCCTCCCCTGGGCCGCCATCTCTCCTTTACCCTGCTCTTTACATTATGTTTTGACTTTTTCACAGAGGAGCCATGGGACACTGAACCTTCCGAGTCTGATTTATTTCACCTAACACAATGATCTCATGATGTATTTCCCTATAAATACCGGACTCGGAGTCTTAGAACAATCCTGCAAGAGAGGGAAATAAAAGGGATACAATCGGGAAGAGGAAACCGCCCTGGCTTATGGATGATTGGATCCCAAACCTCCAAGACCCCCAAACTCCGCCCAGAGACTCTCAGACCCCAAAAAAACAAATTCTGCAGAGCAGCAGGCCACAGAGTCCACATGCAAAAGTCGGCAGCGCCTGGTGCGCCACGGCGAGCCCCCTCCCACGCCGCCCCCAGGAGACCAGGAGAGCGACCCCCTCCTACCCGTGCCCCTCTCCCTTTTCTCCTCCCTGCTGGACCAGGGGCAGGGCCCTGCCACGCCGCTCCTCTCCGCTAGGGGGCTCCAGGTGCTCTCGGATCTTGCATCTTGCAGACAGGTGAAGGCCTCTGATTGGCTGGCGGGAGGCATGATGCCACCGGGCAGCTCTTTTTAAGAGAAAAGCCAGGACGGCAGCAGAGCAGGACTCTAGCAGAGCTCTCTGTGCTGAGCGGCGGGACGAGCTGAGCTGCGGAGCCGAAGCCAACATGAGTGAGGTGAGTGGCGCCCGGGCCACAGGGAGGCCCTGGGCAGGGTGTGGGCCATCAGCCCACCTCCTCTGGGGGGCAGCAGGGTGGTTGCTGGGGCAGAGGAGTCATCCGTCCTGTAACGATTTCCCTGGGTGCCGGTGCACTGGGCAGCTGGCTTGGGAGGGGTTTGCAGGCACTGGTTAAGTTTGCAACTTTTTAAAATCAGCCTTGGACAGAGATGGAGTCCTGGTTGGTGCCCATGTGATGCTGGCTTTGGAAAGCGCTCTGGGTTTAGACCTGGACCGGGAAAGCGGGTTGTTTCCTCCCTGGGGCAGCTGTGTGCTGCCTCGGAGTTTCGGGCCACTCGTGGGGAGTAGCTAATTTTAGTCGGAAAGCGGCTTTTCCGAATCCGTGTGCACCGAGCGGGGTTTGGCAGGACCGAAGCATTGGCTCCAGGGCGGGGGACAGCCCGTCATCGCCCCTGCTCCTCGCGAGGCAGGCTGGGGGCTGCACCGTGCCATCCTCACTCGGCCAAGTCCGTTTCTCTTTCCTCTTGCTTGGCACTTAAATGCTTACTTTTAAAGCTCGTTAACGTCTCTGTGTTTATAATTTTTTTAAAATTTGTTTGACAGATGGGTGATCTTTTTTGGGGAGTCTAGAGTAAAATTAACAACTTCAGAAATAAAATGCTTTCTCACGGCTTCTCTCTCTCTGTCGGGTGATTTGGATGTAACAGGCTGAAGGGAAACGCACTGTCAGATTTGAGAACAGATCTGAGAACGAGGCTGGCAACGGGGGCAGCAGCCGAGGGAGGGGAAGGTGGACGTGGTGGGAGACGAGAGGTCTCCCAGCAACCCCAAGCCAACATCACAGGAACAACAGCAGCCAAACAGCCAGTGTTTGCCTCCAGAGCAGGGTGCCAAGTGCCCCCACAGGCATCCCCTGCTCCAAGCCTCCGGGCCACTGTGTGCGGTAGGGGCCACTGCCATTCCCAGTTGACAGATGCAGAAACTGAGGCCTGTAGCGTCCTAGTTCAAGGTCACTGGCTCGTGAGTGGCAGAGCTAGGACTCGGCTGCGATGCTGGGTCGTCACCAGGTGCACACAGAAGTGCAAACGCCTGGGGCATCTTGGACCACTGGGGGCAAGGAGAGGCCAGCAGGAAGAGGAGGGTCTGGCAAGGTGGTAGGGCCCTGAAATAAGCAGGGACAGTGGGGGCCAGGGGCCGAGGCCTCTGTTCCCTGTGCACTGGGGGGAGGGGCTGTCTGCAAGACTGCAGGGAGGTTCCTGCTCACCTGTCTCCCAAAGCAACCAGAAACAGATGGTTTCCCTTTGCAGACCCCCTGGATAGCTCCCTGTGGGAGGAGGGGTTGGACAGCAGCCAGGCTGGGCCCCCTCTTGGATACAGGCGGCTGCCTTGGGGCTGGGCTCAGTCACCCCCTCCTGCTGAGGCTCCTGCCCAGTGGGGTCCTTACAAGCCTCCCAGGTGCTGGGCTGGATGGGACTCTAGCGGGGACCCTGTGTCCCCGAGGAGGTCTTCACTGCACTTCTGCTGAATGACCCTGCTCTTTACAATCGGCATGGAGCACCAGGCTTCCAGGTCCAAGCTCCGGTGTGGACAAATGCCCTCGCCCAGAGCCCACTCTGTGCTCAATGACTGGCTCCGCACCTCAGCCTCTGACCCCCTCCTGGCTGGGCTCCAGGCTCCTGGGCATGGGTTCAATGCAGAGCAGGAATGTCCTTTCACTGGAGCTTAAATCTACTTAAAACATTTAATAAAGTGGAACAGAATCTCCTGCTGTCTAGGGCCCTGGTCCCCCTCCCGAAGCTCTCCGCAGTTGGATGAATTCAATGTTGTGTCTGGTTCTAATAACTCTCACGCAGGAATGGACTTAAGAGGAGCACTTATTTGCTGTGTGATGGGTCACTCAAGGGGGCCGCAGCCATGACTTTGGTCAGATGTTCCTCCAAGCCCAGGGTTTACTGAGTTTTAAGAGCCACTGCCTTGGGCTACTGGGTATAGTGGCCCCCGCAGACTCCCAAGCTCACAGGCTGTCCCTGGAGCCAGTGAAGAGCCAGCTGGGCAGGGAGGACCCCAGGGCCAGTGTTCCCTGGGTCTGGCCCTGCACTTCGGGGTCTTCTGGCCTTGAGGAAAAGGGGGAACAGCAAGTAGAGCTGGACCCAGCTTTAAACGGGGCAACTTCTACCTCACATTAAGCTCTTCCCCTGGAATGGCATTTTGGGGTGACTGGCATGTGATTGAAAAGAGCAGCTCAACTAGAGCGTGGAAATAAAGTCCAAATTTAGGGCAATGAGAGAGCGGAGGTAGCTTGTGGGGGCGTCTAATTTACATTTTGGTATTGAAGTATGTCAGATGAGCCTGGAGCAGTTGGGAGATGAACAGAGGGATAATTTAGTAGGGATCAAAACGCAAGGCTGAGGGGATTACCAGACAGAATCCCCCCCCCCGCCCCAGGCCCAGCTTTCCAAAACTCACACTCCTCCCCCAACACTGGGCTCTCTACATGCACGGGGTGGGGGGGGCTCTTTTGGTTCTTAGCCACCTTATAAAAGGGTCCTGGAGACGAGAAGTCCCAGGTTCTCTTTCAATGTCTGTTATTTTAAGTTGTTTTCTAAAAGAATTAACTTACTTATGAGGGTGGGGAGCAAGATTTGAAAGGAGGAAGACACATTTGGAGAGGGTGTGAAATGTGACACACCGGTCACCTGTCTGGGAAGGCCTGCGTCCTGTTCCCTGTTATATAAGACTAATATCTTGGTGGCTACTAATTAGTCTTGAGACTCCCGGGAGGAAAGCCACCTCCCAGCCCGAGATTCCCTGTCTCTGGCTCTCTTCTTGCTTTGGCTGGGCGAGGACAGCGCTGTTCTGAGCCAGGCAGGGAACCTTTTTCTGTCTAGACCCTTGGCCATACCACAGGACGAAGGCTCCTAAAGGCACGGTTTGAAACGCCAACAGCATAAGGGCATCTTTAAAGACACGTTTGTCCTGGGCTCCAAATTGGAAGGCTCTGTGGTCTACAAGAAGACATACAAAAAAGCAGAGATCACCAGGATGTGGAGGGAGGCGCTCAGCTCACACTTAAACCTAGGGGTGGGGCAAAATATTTTTGGCAGGGGAGAGGGCGGCACAGTTCCTAGTGCGGAGAAACTCTTATGCAGCACTGGTTTGGGGTGTCTATGGTCAGCTATCAGGTAACCTGGTGAGTGGCGGCTTTGAGAATTGGATTGCAGGGTTGTGCTGAGGTCTCCACTTGCTGTGGTGAGCTGGAACCTGTGCTGGAGGCTTGGTGCGGGGTCTTTGAGGCCCCGGGTGCTGCGGACCAGTTGCTAAGTGCAGTTCCAAGGGGACTGCACCAAAGGTGTGTTTTGCAACTGGTCCCAGCGGCCCAGCAACAGAAAGGCAGATGACAACCCAGTTTCTCTTGAGGTTTTTCTTTTGCTTTTCTCCTCATTTAGGAAAAGAGCCACGAGGACCCAGTTGGTTCTGGTGACCACACGGTGACAGATACTGCTCTAAGTGGAACCATTCCATCTCGCCAGACACCAAGCGCAACCAGGGTTCAAATTCTGACTTTCCCTAGCAGGAAAGACGTGGAAACTAGCATAAAACTATATTTGCAGGGCTGGTGATCTTAATGGATTGCCATGAAATTTACTTCCCCATCCTGCATTTTGTTAATGGATGTCGAGGGATTAAAAAGTCTGGCTGTTTTTCTCCTTTGAATTCCAATGAGGAAAGAACGCAGGCTGTACCATCGCTGTTTTCTGCAGAGAGGAAACTTGAATAAATGACTCAGTAGATTTCGTTAGAGGCTGAGTAGACTAGTGTGATCAAGATGAAGAGGAAAACCTTTTTAAAACAAATTTTCTGTATTTTCAGGGCACACATCTTGTGCATTCTCTTTTGACCTGCTAACACCCCTCCTTCGCAGGGGTTTTTGGTGGGGGGAAGGCACCCCAACTTGCTTGTTCTGCAGCAGTTGGGTGCACTGAACTCTTTGAACACACTCACAGTATTGCAAGCCCACACTTCGGGTTTCTTATTAATTCTGCATGACTTTCTGGAAAGAGCTTCCTACTGAGGAGGTTTTGGGATTACACACACATAGGCTTGTATTCTGTTTGGCTGATGGCTTCGTATTAAAGAGCATGCAGGTAAAATATTTATCAATTTTATTTTATTGACTATAAGACTTTCCCAGACTATGAGCTTTCCAATGGACAATGTTATGTCACTCCCAAGTAGCCCAGGGTGGTCCCCAGTTTATTCCAGTTCCTAAGTGAGTTTATGGATTTCCAAGAGTGGATTATTCATTGGTGGAACTGTGTCCCAGAACCCCTTGTCTCTGAATGCTGAGATTTGCCTGTGGGGTACACTGCAGAAAACAAAGGCTATTATTTTGTTTTTAATTCCTGGGTTGATATTATTTAAATGAGAGATGGGTGGAGGGGTCCAGGCGCACACTGAATGCTCTCATGGTAGTAAAGGAAAATGAGAAGATAAGAAGACTCAGCATGAAGAACTCTTAACGTTTGGGCAAATGTCAGAGAGAAGCTAGTGCTGTGGAAGCCCTGTGGAACTCATACCCCGTGTTTTGCGCTGCCTTGGCTGAGACCCTTCAGGTGAGGGTGGAATTCACAGAAAGGGGCCAGAGCCACAGAGGCAGAGCCTAGGAACCTCTGGAAAATTGATTTGCTGTACTGAAGTAGAAAAGGAGTGTGGCCAAGACCGGAGGAAAAAGGAGCTAAGCAGCCTTCAGTCAGGGAATGCTCCAGGGTCCCCGCCAGCCAAGCTGCAAATTCAAGAAGGCTGTAAAACACACCCAACATCCAAAAGGCTGTAAAGCACACCCAACATCCAAAAGGAAGTTGCACATGTAAATATCTTAGCAGTTAAATTAATCATCAATGGTGTTCATCATGTTAATAGTTAGAGGGAATATTTCAAATTATATTGAATATTTAAATACTTAATTTATATTCGAAACAGGCCTAGATGAGAGAGATG